TGTGTGTGTGCATGCGTGTGCGTGTGTGCGCGTGTGTGCGTGTGTGTGCATGCGTGTGCGTGTGTGCGCGTGTGTGTGCGTGTGTGTGAGTGTGTGCGTGTGTGCGCGTGTGCGTGTGTGCGCGTGCGTGCATGCGTGTGCGTGTGTGCGCGCGTGTGTGCGTGTGTGCATGCGTGTGCGTGTGTGCGCGTGTGTGTGCGTGTGTGTGAGTGTGTGCGTGTGTGCGCATGTGCGTGTGTGCGCGCGCGCGTGTGTGCGTGTGCGTGTGTGTGCGCGCGCGTGTGCATGTGTGCGCGTGCGTGCATGTGTGTGCGTGTGTGTGTGCGTGTGTGCGTTTGTGTGTGTGTGTGTGTGTGTGTGTGTGTGTGTGTGTGTGTGCGCGCACCCACTCATATGCAACAGTGTGCATGTGGAGGTCGGATGGCAACCTGCAATTGGTTCCCTCCTTCCAGTGCAGGTCCCCGGATTGAACTCGGTTCATCAAGAACGACGGTCAGCACCCTGAACCCCTGGGCTGTCTCACTGCCCCAAGTCACTTCACCCTCCGAGCCCTTCCTTTACGTCACAGAGTCAGGCCAACCTTCCCTTTAAGGCGCACAGTTGGCGATGTCTGGAGAGTCATCTCCAGTGTCAGTTTCCAGCGAGGGCTGCACTCCTACAGTGGGACCTATTTTCTGTGACTGCGAAAAGGATTATTTAAAAATCTTTAAAAGTAGCCATGCCTGGTGGCCACACCTTTAGTCCAGCACTGAGGGTGATCAGTGACTGCTCAGAGGAGCGGTCTGGCCCCGGCTAATGAGCGTGGTGTCAACACGGACGCCAGGTCTTTGGCCTTGAAGCCGAGGCTTGCCCCTGAGCGGGCAGCTCCCTCTTCACTGACAGCAACTTCTTAAGAAGCCTGGAGCCAAGAACCACCCCGAGCAGGACTCATCTGAGGGGCAGGATGTGCGCCTGCTATGATTTGAATGTGCAACGTCCCCTCACGAGTTTGAACATGTGGTCCTCAGCTGATGGTTGGGGAACCGTGAGGAGGAAGTGGGTCCCTTGGGGGTCGGCCTTGAGGTTTTATAGCCCCGCTTCACTTCCTGTTCCCTCTCTGCTTCCTGACCGTTGGTTTGATGTCCCCAGCCTGCTTTCCCACTCCACGATGGACTGTATCCCCTAAAAGTGTGAGACAAAATAAACGTTTTCCCTTTACACTGCTGCTTCTCAGGCGTTTGGCCATGATGGTGAGGAACCCTTTCCTAGAAATGCCGTGGAGAAGACGCCAAGAGTGGGACTGGCGAGGATGTCCGGGGAAGGGCTCCAGGATGGCCTGTCTCCAGCCAGCAGTGAGGGGCGGCCATGCCCTGTGACTAGCCACAGCAGGTTAGAGCCTGGGCAAATGACCCCACCGTCCCTTTACGGGTGTTCCCAGTAACCTTGAGAATATGGCCAACAGCAGCAGCTCCACGGGGCTGTGGGGTCAGGTGGAGAATGTTCGTGAGGGGCTCAGTGCGGGGCACACAGTGCATGAAACGTCCTTAATAGATAGACATCCTTCACACTCGTCCTGAAAGGACCACGGGGTCCTCGCCAACCAGTGGGAGCAGGTACCAGCTTATGGAACCCAGGCAGACACAGCGTGAAGAAATACCTGCCAATGTAGTCAAGCAGTCACATGACAGATTTGCATATGCTTGTTCTTTCCATTTCAGGAAAATTAGGCAGTTAATGCTTGAAAGTGATTCTGAAGGAAATTAGAACAGAGTCCGGCATTCCCTGCATGTCAATGCCACGTGACCTCACAGCGTCCCTGCATGTCAATGCCACGTGACCTCACAGCTTCCCTCATGTCGATGCCACGTGACCTCACAGCTTCCTGCATGTCAATGCCACGTGACCTCACAGCTTCCCTCATGTCAATGCCACGTGACCTCACATTGTCCCTGCATGTCAATGCCACGTGACCTCACAGCTTCCCTCAAGTCAATGCCACGTGACCTCACAGCTTCCCTCAAGTCAATGCCACGTGACCTCACAGCGTCCCTGCATGTCGATGCCACGTGACCTCACAGCTTCCCTGCATGTCAATGCCATGTGACCTCACAGCGTCCCTCATTGTTAATGTCACGTGACCTCACAGCCACCACAGCCATTTGGTTGTACTAAAAAGACAATGCCCAGAGGGCCTCATTAAAACTTTCTTAGCAACAGCTCTACCACCCACCACAGCCATTTTCTTCTCCTTTCCTGTGAAGTTCTCCACCTTGCCTCAGAGGGAAAACCTTGAAATAAACTACATGAAAGTCTAATTAACAGCCAGGCTGCCTCAGTTTCCTGCTTTGTTGCGCACCTCAGTGAACTCTCACTGTGCTGAGAATTCACCAGATGAGAGGTCCCCAGCCCTACCTCACTTGTGTTTGTTTATTCTGCCTTTTCCCTTCCTCAGAGGTAGCCAGCTGAAGCTTTCTAGAACACAGAATTTGTTTGAAATCTGTCTGTCTCCCTCTAGTATGTGACCTCCCAGTTTCCTTTCAATGTGAGGTCTTTGAATGTGGCGCCACCCATGAAACCAAAGGATAAATATTTATTTCCAAAGGAAATTGCAATCAGTTGGCCTAGAGGTCCTAATCCTAGAAAAACTAAGAGAGGTTGATATAGGGACTGTGTACCCAAATAGTGACTGCATTAAGAGATTTCTCCTCTTCTCCATGCTGGTTAATTGTCATAAACTTTCTGTGTTGTAACATATTGCCGTTCTTTTAAAGTAAGTCTAACAAAGCCCCTGCACAGGGAATTGTCTTGATTCCAACACACCTGAAAAAGCCACAATTCCCATGCATGCAGTCCCTCTCCAGGGTACTTGTGAAAATACCCATAGCCTGTCTGACTTCTGTTGGCTTTGGCTTTTGATATGAGACCTGCCCTCTAGCAGCTTTGTGTAAAGCAAACACTCTCTCTGGATGAATTTTTGGTATTAAAAATACGTGTTAGCAGTTAGTATCAGTTCTAATGAGGCATTTCTTTAAGGGTCTCATTGATAATGTCAAAGCCAGCAACAGTGAGCTCTGAGCGGAGAGCCTGGCCGCTGCATTTTGTTAACCCCGGTTAGCATGCTAGGCAGGTTTCCAGGCTTGATTGACAGAGCCCTTTCAGCACAAACCCTGGAAAACACTTAGGAGAAGAGAAGCCCATGGAGGCCCTCCGCCTCTAACACTTTAATACAGACATGCATCTGGTCAGCACATGCTGGACTCATCATGTCCACAGTGAGTAGCACTGTGGTCCCAGTGTCATTTGCCACAATCAATGATGGCACATCCTGACAATATTTAAGACAAATCAGACCAAGAAAAATGTTCTCAAGATTGACGTCTGAGAGGAAAACTCTTGAATTTTTTTCCCCCAGCCATTCTCATTTCCACAATGCTTTCAATGTGAGGAAGACGAAGAAGAGGCGGAAGAGGCAGAGAAGGAAGCACAGCCCTGAGGGGGCACGAGGTGGGTGGAATGTGTAAAAGCAGGTTCCACGGCAAGTTCGTTGCCTTCCTTTCCCTCGGCACTCTGCCCCGGTGTCACGAATCTTCTAAACACAAGTGAGGTGGTCTTTTCCCTCAGCTGCTCAGTTAATGTCCCAAAATAGGAAATGCATTCCTTAGCCTTCTACATCCTCCTCCTTCTCCTTCTAAAGATGCATTTACTTCTACTTTATGTACATGATCCTTTTACCTTACGTGTATGTCTGTGTACCACTTGCGTGTCAAGTGCCGACGGAGGCCAAAACAGGGCGGTCGGATCTGCTGGAACTGGAGTTACAGATGGCCGTGAGCTGCCATGTGTGTTCAGAACTCAGAACCAGGTCCTCTGGAAGAGTAGCCAGGCTCTTAACTGTGAAGCCATCTCTCAAGTCCCACTCTTCATCACTCTTATTTCATGCAAAACAGCATTAGTTCTGATGAGCAAAAAATCCCTGGTCTGTAAACATCAGCCACAAAACTGCTGCTGCGTTCAGAAAGGTACACCAATCCATGGCAATACCAGCTGACCCCCTGGGCCAACCAAGAGAAGTCCTCTCCCAGTCTTCTAGACCTGTTAAACAGGCAGTGGCTGCTGACTTCTGGATTTATGACCACAAACTACAGTGGGTGTGACAGTGCAAGAACCTTTCCAAGCAATCAGACACAAAATCTTATTTTTCTGTTTTTAACACCTCATTGAATCAGCAGCATATAGAAGTAATAAATGCTGCAAGTACAGCATATAAACGGCAATTAAAACTAATTATATTATTTAGGTATACAGACTGCAAATAAAAATGCTTTCAGGGCAGTGGTGGTGCTCGCCTTTAGTCCCAGCACTCAAGAGGCAGAGGCAGGTGGGTCTCAGAGTTCAAGGCCAATCTGGTCTACAGAACAAGACAGCCAAGGCTACACAGAGAAACCCTGTCTTGAAGGGAAAAAAATATATAAAAAATGCTTTCAGATAATAGATACTATAATGAAAACTGCTTTTTGTCATTCAGCAATATGTTGTGAATATTTTTCCACGTCAATGAATGCAAATCTACAGATCTATGGTACATGGTAAAGCTTTGGATTACTTTCATGTCACCCTTGTTTTAATTAATCATCTTCTGATGAACATTTAGGTTCCTCTGCCCACCCCCTTTATTCCTCTTTTTAAAATAATATTGTAATAGCATCACATATATCAATGAACCTTGAACTTTGTGACAAAAGATCACCAGAGTATTTTTAAAGTACTCTGGTACTTTAAAATAGGATGCAAGTGTCACATCTAGAGGTCCTGCTTGAATCAGGGAGGTTGAAGACCAGACCCCTGCATCCTGGCCTCACTGACGACACTGGTGGCCCTGGAAACTCACTGCTTTGGGAAATACATATCTTACAGACTTCTCTACAGATTCCTTTGGACAAGGGCTGACTATGCACTCCAGCACTCTGCCTTGCTTACAGCTTTTTGTTTGTTTAAAAATAAAAGATTGGGTCCTGCAGGAAGGTAAGTGTTCTAAGGACAGACATATGCTTCCAAAGTTCACAGATAAACAAGGAAATTCTGCTCAGGAGCCTTCAGAACCAGCCCTTCAGGCGTCCACTGAGACATAAATCCTCCCCAGAAGTCCTCTGGCCTCTCTTAGAGTAGAGAAGGGGCCGAGAGAACACACAAGGGGAGACTACGTGAACTCCGAGTGCAGCTTGGAAAAGCTGAATCCTCAGAGGAGAGGAGAGGTGCCCATGGCTGCCATTTGCATAGATTGCCACCGACATGGGGCACCCGAGGAGGAAGCTTTATTTCCAAGATCTTCTTCAATAACATGTTCATTTGATGAGAATAATGTTTCCACTCCAACTTTCCAGGGCTTTAAGAAGTGAGAGTGAGGTTGGGTGGGGAGCTCAGTCGGTAGAGTGTTTGCCTACCATGCAGGAAGTGCAAGGTTCGAGCCTCAGCTACTGCATAAACCAAGCATGTCATACACACGTGTAATCCTAGCAACTGGGAGGTGGGGGCGGGGGGATCAGAAGTTTACAATCATCCCCACATACCTAGTGAGTTCAAGACCAGCCTAGGATACAGGAGATTGTCTCAGAAAAGAAAAAAGTGACCATAAAAGAATATAAATATTTCTCTCTATCCAAGATCTGACCATGCATGCTCACATTAGTGCACATGCTTACATTAGTGCATATGCTCACATTAGTGCACATGCTCACATTAGTGCACATGCTCACATTACTGCACATGCTCACATTAGTGCACATGCTTACATAAGTGCACATGCCCACATTAGTGCACATGCTTACATAAGTGCACATGCCTACATTAGTGCACATGCTTACATTAGTGCACATGCCCACATTAGTGCACATGCTTACATTAGTGAACATGCTCACATTAGTGCACATGCTAACCCAACAAAGTCCACACAGACTTCCCTGCTTTCAGTCTCCAAATTTCAAAACTAAGAGCGTCACTGCAGAAAGAACAAGTAGGACTCTTCTAAAGAAAACATTGTTCCTTTCTTTTGGTAAACATCACTGAAGTATATGCATGCACAGAAAACTGTCCAGACTGTAAATTTACAAACTCAGTCAATTCCCACTAAGTGAGCATGCTCAGACAACCAGCGTCTGCATCGAGCCACAGACCCCAAGGGTCACCCGGTGCCCGAGCACAGTTACTCCTCTGCCCCAGGTACTCACCATTCCGATTTCCCACAGTTTGCACACACAGCAACGGAGCTGTAAATTATGAGTTCCTAAATTTTACCGACCGTTAGCTTAGCTCTTCATGTCCTGTACAGACATGCCCCCCCCCCCGGAAGCGGAGCTGTTCCCACAGAAGAACTTAGACTTAGCATAGACTTCAAATAAACCGTGTCCATTTGTGCTCTTCAGCTAGACAGCAATGGTGAGCCCACAAGTGTCCACAGTAAGGGGGGGGAAGGATCCGACCACAATTCCTTGCACATACCTGACAGGCAGCTCCAGAGGCTCCATGATGCGGCACGGCGAAGATGAGCATTGCCACCGTAAGGAGCTGTCTGTGTCTCTACGTACCAGCCACTCTGTCTTCGTGACATATCCTTGCATATCCTCTCTGGGGCTCTGCCACTTCCATGTCCAAGAAGTGGGTGTAAATCACTCATTAACTGTTGTGAAAATTAAGTGAGATCACAAATACAAAGTCCTTGGCATGTCATAGGTGTGCTATACACGTTTATTCTTTTTCCTTCAGACTAAATATTGATTATCTTTTAGATTCAGCCTGGACAGCACACCCTAAATATATTTTCAGTGGCAACTATTTAAGCCACTAACTAGTGACTTTACAGTAATTTGGAAACCGGTTTGTGGTGTGAAAATCTTGTATCTGTTAGCAGTGTTTTTCAGAGTCCAGAAAAGCCACCGTCATCCTTTGTAGGCTACAATGCTTCACGTTCTTCGTACATCTACCATGCTGGCCTGGCTCTTCATTTATTAATGATGCTCTTCATGAAGCCATCATCATCTCAGCTTCCTGCAATAGTCCAAAAATGCTTGAAATTATCATTTCCAATATGAACGGGAAGGCTCCAAACACCCGTGCTTCCCCGGACATTATCGGTTTATTAACAGCCATTGTGCCCATCCATTTGGCCTTTTCAGTTAGACAGGGACGTGGTTTCAAAACAATCATGTCGTTTCTGTACTTTCACTAGGATCCGTATTAAAAGCTCTGACAGATTGCTAATGAGCCGATGTTGGAATGACAGGGTACTCTGTTACCGTGTGTCCGTTCACAGTTTCCTCTCCAACCCATCTGTCCTCGAGACACACCCGCCACGGAGCAAGCAGGCTGGGACACTTTCTCCATTTACACCTTTGCCTGCAGAGGCTGCTGGGAAAGCCTGTCCCTAATTAAAGATCTTAACAAGCATATTGCCGGTGCTGTTATTAAACTGCTCTCTTTTGTTAGGGAAGGTGCTGGTTGTCAGCAGTTTGTAGATTTAGATATTTAATGTGTGTTTCTGTAGCCCAGCAAAATATTTGTGTTTTCAGAATAATTCAATTAGAACATTGTGCATGCAGCTACCTCTGCACCGTAAATACGCCCGGCCACATGCTATCAAAACCCTGTAGAGTTATTTGGACTCGTGACAAAGAAACATGGATGACTCTTATGGACAGACACAAGTTAAAGCATAGTTATACAGCTTGGAACTGTAAACACAAAACGACCAGATTGAGATCATGGCTCATATTATTTTGAGCAAGGCAAAGTCTCTACCTCCGAAAATAAGTGTGTCCTTAGGGCACACTGAAAAGGAGTCCGGTTTCCCTGGCAGTGGGGCTCAGCCAAGAGGGCAGCTGTTCCCTCGCTGTGAAGGATCAACCGTTAGAACCAGTGTGGGTAAGGTCGGCGGGACTGGGGACCTGGGCTCTGCAGCTGTCACAAACCCTTCCGCATCCTGCTGTCAAATTTGAAGGCCACCCCTCTCTGCTGTAGAGATCAGAGAGGAGAGATGGTTTGCCTGAGCACTTACTGGCCTGGAAGAAGCCCGCTCAGTGCCTGAGTCTTGGAAATGGGCTCGTGTTCAGATGCCCCACGGTGAACAGTTTGGTGGGGGAGCTCTGGTAATAAACCACCTAAGGTTTGCCAGACCAAAGTGACCCCTCAGCCGTACTGAGAGTCTCACGCCTTCATCATTCAGTCAGGAACAGCTCCCAGAGTCCATCACCTTGGCGATCAGAAGGTTGCTCTGAATGCTGCTTTCAAGTTTCTGCCAATGGCCAGTGACACAGGGATTCATGATGCACATTTATTTCCACGTGGAAACCTGGAGGCCACTTACCGCACTTTCAGTATAGGTTGATGTCTTCATTTAATTCAATATTGGCAAATCTGAGGAACACTGCGTTAATCATGAGGCAAGGCCTTCGTTCTGAATGGACATTCAACAGCCAGCATGTTTAACAAAACCATGGACTCTAGCTGATGCCATGGGAAGCCAGGGCTAATTGCCATGCGGCTGTCAGAGTTGCAGAGGAGTACAGAGACCAGAGACAGAGAGAGAGAAAGAGAAAGAAAGAAGGAGGGAGGGAGGGAGGGAGG